CAACACCGAGGGTTGTGATCCCGTTGCCAGTCCCGGTCCGGTACGGGCGCAACACTGAGGGTTGCGATCCGTTGCCGGACACGAAAAAAGACAAAAAGGAAAAAAAAAAAAAGCGAGGTGCAGAACAGTGCGTATGATGGGGGAAAGTTTTGGATATATATTCATCTTTGCTTATAGTTGTATGAAACTGTGGTAAAAGCAAATAAGGCTGAAATGAAAACCTTAGCTGATCCTCATGTTCATGGGTGTGTCCACATCGAGGGACTGTAATGCAGGGACAAATGTGTGGACTCCTCGAACTTCCCCATGCCCCTGTTTCTTCACCATAAAATGAAAAACAGCACCTGCCTACCTCTAGGATTGCTGTGAGGGCAGTGGGGATCGTGCCCATTACAGCACTTATGGGGTGCCTGGCACACTAAACAGCCATCAGCATTAGCTGCTGTCATTAATCATCGATCCACGCTGAGAGACACCAGAGTTGGCATGGCTCCTGGGTCCTTAGCTAGAAAGTGTTTGGCCTGGGAGTCACTCCGCATGTGTAACCCGAGGCATGGCAACATGGCTCCATCTTGTTACTGAGTGGGGAGCCATGGGAGAAGTTAGTTCCTCATAAGACCTTTTTTGGGAGTTATTGAGAGAAAAATCATAGAATGTGGGTACCATCAGGGACCACGGGGTCGGCTCCATCTTGTTACTGAGTGGGGAGCCATGGGAGAAGTTAGTTCCTCATAAGACCTTTTTGGGGAGTTATTGAGAGAAAAATCATAGAATGTGGGTAACATCAGGGACCACGGGGTATTTTAGTGTAACATGGTCACATTTCAGATGAGGAAATGTGAGCCCCTATACACACACCCCAACCGAGGATCCCAAGGTTGAATAGCTTGTCCGAGGCCCCATAGTTGGTTTGTAGTCAAGTTGCTATTAGAATTTAGATCTGATTTTCATCTGCTTCCGTATCATTTTTATTACATGGTTTTTCCTTGCCTTGGAAATTTGGGGAGGAATGAAAATAACTGTTTGCAGACTCTCAAGAAAAAATCCTGTTATGTGAAAATACAGCAAAGACCACAGTGTTTTGGGTTCTAGCCTCCCATCTATTCTGTGTTGCCTGGGCGTAGCTCTGGCCCCCCATCGGCTCTCGTGTTGGTGCGGGGTGTGGGTAGGACAGCAGTGGTCATAGGCTGGACAGACTGGAGTCGGTGATCCAGGGGTGGGGAGTGGGAGCGGGAAGGGTGTGTGTGTCCTCCTCTGCTTTGTTGTATTCCAGAGCCAAGGAACCCAGTAGATGTCTGAGCCTCCCTTGCTATGACAGTTCCTTTCAGTGGGAGGCTGGGGGCAGGTGGGGCTGATGGGTGTGGTTTTAGCCCTGTGCTGTCATGTGCATGACCAAGACCACTCTACCCACCAGCTGATTTGAGCTTATGCACTAGGATGATAATTGGGGTACGGGGCGACAACTCTGAAGTACTTGACATCGAGCAGGGGTTTCTAACTGAGAGAAAGCCTGCGTGCAGTGTAGAACTGAGGTGTCTGATTGTATTCTAATTCTAGAGAACCAGCAATCTGGAAAAGGGTACAAAAGCTCCACAGGGACAGGGATTTATGTTGGATACCCATACCACTGGGTGTCCTATTGGTGCCTCTTGTAGTGACTGTCTGCCTGTGTTCCAGAGGAGCACATGTACTTGAAGATCAACAAGTTCCTGCTGTCACACGAGTACTTGAATATGGACAAGGTGCCAGGCTTCTACCAGTTCTTCTATAGCTCCGACTTTGAGGTAATGCTTCCCAAGTCCCCAAGGTCCCCAGAAGACTCCTGAATTGGATGACTCAGCATTGTTGTCCTTCTGCTATTTCCCCGTTAATTCTGTTTGCTGCACAGCTGATGCGATGGCACAGCTGTGCTAGAGCAAGAAGGTCATGAAAACTAGCAGTTTACACAGGCTCGTGTGTAGCAATGTCTCCTATTCCGTGTGTTAATTTTTACATAGTTTCTCAAACCTTAGAAACTCTACTTCATAGAGGTTTATTAGAGGCTGTGAAGTGGGGAGAGGAATAGGAAGAGTTTGCTTCATGGATACAAAATTGCAGTTAGATAGGAGTAAGTTCTAATGTCCTGTAGCACTCTAGGGTGACTGTAGTTAACAGCAGTTTTTTGTTTATTTTCAAATAACTAGAAGAGATTATTTTGAATGTTCCCAGCACAAAGAAATGATAAATGTTTGAAGTGATGGATGTGCTAATTACCCTGATTTGATCATTGCACATTATATACCTGTATCAAAATATCACACTGTGTCTCATACATACATACAGTTACGTGTCAATTAAAAAAGAAAAACTACTTCAGAGTCCTGAGTTTTATGGCATTCATGTTGGTATTTTCTCAGTGAATCACTGGGTTAAATATTAAATATTCTTTTATAGAACACCTGCCTGATTTTTTTTTTTTTGGGGGGGGGGGGCGGTAAGGGGATCGTAACCCTTGGCTTGGTGTCGCCCGCACCGCTCTCAGCCAGTGAGCACACCGGCCGTCCCTATATAGGATCCAAACCCGCGGCCTTGGTGCTCCCAGCGCCGCTGTGCTCCCAGCACCACACTCTCCCAAGTGAGCCACAGGGTTGGCCTGAACACCTGCCTGATTTTTTTTTTTGGGGGGGGGGGGCGGTAAGGGGATCGTAACCCTTGGCTTGGTGTCGCCCGCACCGCTCTCAGCCAGTGAGCACACCGGCCGTCCCTATATAGGATCCAAACCCGCGGCCTTGGTGCTCCCAGCGCCGCTGTGCTCCCAGCACCACACTCTCCCAAGTGAGCCACAGGGTTGGCCTGAACACCTGCCTGATTTAACACAGTTCAGTGTTTGAACTTGACTTAGTCCTTTACTTCTATCTATCCTGAAAAAATGGAATCAGAGATGAGACCAAGGATTTTTAATAACAGAATCAGAGATGGAGGTCAGGGTTGTTGTGTTCTTTGCCCCCGCTTGAAAATGATGGTGTTTGAGGAGTTGGCAGATCAGAGGGCTTCAACTTTAACTTTTTTAACTATAGTTTCTTATTTGCATGGATTACAGCAAAAAACCGAACAGGAATGGGTGTTTGGAATCCTGCGACAGGGGATTCGTGACAAGCACTGCTACGAGCTGCTTGCCAGGCGAGGGGTCTTCCACATCATCCTGTCCTTCTTCAACAGCCCGCTGTGTGATGAAGTGGTGCAGGTGAGTGGGGTCTGTAAGTGTGTTTGAGGCTGAAAGGTCTGTGCTCTTTCTCAAGGTTTAGTTGGAAGTCAACTCCATGTGAATTCTAATCCCAGCCTACACAACCAACCTGAACCTGGCTTTCCACTGGGAAAGTGAGACACTGTAATGCCTGTCCCATTGCCTGCAGAAAGTGCAGGCTGATTCACTTGTGGCGCAGTGTTGTGACACCCAGTGTCGTCTGTCCTCTGATGACTGTGCCCTTGGCTGATATGAAGGCCTCTTTATTTTGCCATCCTGAGGGAGGGATTTATTGGTATTCATGAGCCTTAGGAGGTGGCCAAAAAGTCTAGAGACAAATTTCTGTCATATGCTACTGAGGTACTGTGTCTGAGGCACTCTTGAGCCCCGGGGCTTCATCAATGTGCAGATGCTGCAGGCACGAACGCTGAGCAGGCAGACATGAGTCAGGAGCCGATGCTGACTGCCTGGCGAGGCTACTCAGGGACTCTGTGCATCTAGCTCTAGCCCCAAGAACCAAGAGCTGACGTGTGTGATTTCCAAATACCAGGGGGAGTTAGAAGAAGTTATAGGAAAGCCTTTGGAATTTTGATTAATTTCTAACCTCGGTTGGCTTTTATTCCTGATATTATGTAAAATGTGAGTAAATAGGAGTGAGTCAGGACTAAGAAGCATATTTGAAGAATCTGAATTTAAATTTAAGTATGGTAGCTTTTCATTTTTCATGGCATGTGAGAATTGCTTTTTTTTTTTTGGTGGCTGGCCAGTATAGGGATCTGAGCCCTTGACCTTGGTGTTATCAACACCGTGCTCTAACCTATTGAGCTAACCAGCCAGCGGCATGTGAGAATTCTGAAGCACCCAATTAACAGTTCAGGAAGCAGCCCTGTTTTATGTCCTCCTTTCTAGGTGGTAAGTCAGAGAGACAAAGCTGGCTGCCCGCAGGTCCTTGCCAGCCTAGAAATGGACCTGCATTCTCTCCCAGCTCAGGCTGCTGCAGGTCTGGGTCGTTTGATTTCTGTGGTGCATCTTTGCCTGTGGGTTGGTTCCTTGTGATGGATTAGTGGAATTGGATATCCTCGGGGGCCAGTCATTGCTGTGGAAGGCTGTATGCTCTGGCTGTCAATTGTGGGAAAGGGCACATTCCTATATGGACAACACTGTGACAGTTGTAGCAAAGCCAATTTCACTTGCAGCAGACCCTGGAATTGTAGTGCACCATTACATTTAAAAAACTTTCCTTCCATCAAGTAAATTAGGTTTTCCCACTGAAGAGTAACTTTTTGTTTTGGGTTTTCAGAATTGGATTCTGGAGATTCTACAGAATGTTGCCCAGGTTGCCAAATCTGCCTATGAAATCATACGGGACTATAGCCTTTTAACCTGGATTTTACACATCCTTGAGAGCAAGTAAGCACCTTTTACATGACAGGCGTGTGTCAGGTGGGAAAAGGGTGGAGCAGAGACAGTGATGCATGCCACCAGCTTTAGTATCCACTGGAAGTGTCCAGTAATATCCATGCCCTATGACAGTGTCCCCTAGTGGCACCATGTGCCTGGGAATCCAGCTCCTGGGAATACCAAAATGGATTTCCTCTGTTTAAATCTTTGAGTGTTTCTTGTCTGCTGTGGATGACAGACACCAGCTACTGTTTACATCTGGCAGACGCTCCATCAGCCTTTCTGTTACTTGCAGGCCAGTCCCTCCCCTGGTGTGCTGGCCAGCTTAGTATGGTCTGATATAGTGTCTTGTCATCTAGGGCTTTAATGACTGCAGTGCCAACTTAAGGTGGAAACAAGAAGCTCCTAGTTTGAGGAAGGCTCATTGAAGTCCCAGTGGGTTACAGGGCTCCCCTTTCAGCACAGGGTCTTGGTGCTATGGGACGAGTTGTTGGAGGAGCAGTGTCAAGGGGCTGGAGTTGATGATTTATTGTGATTCCTGATCATCTTTTTCTCCTGAGTTTAAGGCTGTCTGAAAAGATGAAGACCCTATTAAAGACAGCACTTGGTTGGGGGGCTCTGTCTTTCAAAGATCTAACTTCTGTAATAAACCCAGGGGTATCCAGGTCCTTATGTGCATTCAAAAAACATGTTTTCTAAAATGTCTCTAAAAGAAAGTAATATACATACAAATCTGGAATGTGTCTTTGGACATCAGATTCAAGACTGTTCCAGATTTGTGAAAGGCATAATTGGCTGATTATCTGTTTCTGGCTAATAACTTTATGTTTTATTTTATTTTTATGTTTTGGAAATAGAACTGTTGTCATGAACAGACCAGCTTTTATTATTGTAGTGCAGTGGCTTCAGAATTCTTGGAGGGCCTTAGGGCAGTCGCCGGTTAGAAAGGAGTGTGGGGCCTTGTCCTGTGTTGAAGCTGTGTCTGTGTAGCAAGCACCCTGTTCTTACTTAGAGGACATGCTCATTTGAGGGGTGAGCAGACAGAATTATTAGAGGGGGTCTGCCTAACCACCATCGTCATGTTCTGTCCTGCAGTTCCCGCCCACCCCACCTCCGGCAGACTGGTCTCATTAAAAGGCTGTGGCAGAGACTGAAAGTTGCCGTGTTTGGTTTCAGGTTTCTGGAAACTCAGCTGCTCTCTAACGTGATTTCCTTGCTGCACATGCTGTGGGTGACCAACCTGGGAGACAAGGGGGTGGAGAGGGAGAGCCGGCCTTGTCACCAGCCCTGCCCTCAGGAGCCCCCCAAACTGCTGGCTCTGCACCTGGTCAACGAGTTCCTTTATGTTCTCGTCGAGCTCCCGAAGCACCTGAGGTGAGCCCTCCCCCACCAGGGGTGACCCCTCATGTGCCTTTTAGAGGCTTGTTGGCTGATGCTACCATTTATTCTGTCACGTGTGGACAGTGTATCTCAGTCACAACTCCACAGGCGGACTCTGGGCTGTGGCCTGGTGGGAACTGGATCAGAGCGCTGGTGTTGGGTGAGATAGCAACAGGACATCTTTTTTAGCTCTTTTCTTCCTTCCACTTCAACTTTGTCCGGCTCCTTGTCAAGGCCCTGCATACTTAGCACACCTTTAAAAACCTAAAATGCGTCATACGAGGTCATTTTTAGCAGGCAACCTGTCTACCTCGATATTTTGATTCACACACTCAAATAAAGCGATATTTTGTAGGAAGAACATATTTTCCATGACCTTAGCCTAAGAGAAGGTATTCCCAACTTGCTTCATTAGCCCGTGAAGACTCACTTCTCCATGAATTTTTTTTGACTATTTCAGTATTTTCATCTGGTCCTTTGCAATCATGCTCTTGGTTTCCACAAGAAAGCTAAATTCTCCTCAGATTCCACTGTGCTATAGAAAGTACAGTGTTCACTCATATTTCTGACTTGAGAACTGAGGAAACAGGAACGGGAAGATTGATAGCAAAGAGATTTTAATCTCCAAGTGAAAAATTTCTTGATAAAGAACATGGCATCTTGTTTTATGTTTTCCTGTTAAGTCAATGCTGGATAGTCATGTTCCTTATTTTGGGGTGGTCAGAAGCCACTTTCATGTCTGAGAGCTGATTACTATTTAAAATAATGATTTAAAATAATAATAACCCGGTGACCTCCTGGTTGTGGTCATGGGTGGTGGTGCTGTCCCCGGGCCTTCCTGGGCCTTTTTCACTTGAGTCTGACAGTTGATGAGGTAAGAGGACTCAGCAGTCCAGGGGTGGAGATCTGTTAGGTCCTGGCACCCTGGTCCTCTTTCTTTCTCTGCTTGGCTGCCCATTTAGCTGAGGTTTCCAAAGCAATTTCTGTTCCTCCAGGTAGAGGTCAGATTCCATGTCTTCTTTCTGCCTCACCCCAGTGGCTTGCTTTTTCCTGTTCTGTGCACTGGGGGCCCACACCCGGTGTCTGATGTAAAGGGAAACTGGTTCGCGGATGGACCGTTTGCACCTCTGGGTGTGTGATGTCCTGGGCTTCCAGGACGGGGAGGCAGCTTTTGCTCAGTCTGTAACGTTGGCTCCTGTATAGGCCCACCTTGGCCTCCGCCCAGCTAACCAACTTCTTCTGGACACTTGACTCTGTGCTGAAGTACCGGACCACGGTCATTCAGGCCTTCAAGGACATGAACCGATTCACCGTGAATGAGACAGTGCTTTCCACCAAGGATGTCCTTGTCCTCTTGCACAAGTGGAGCCTCATCGAAAGGGACATCAGGCTCCAAGAAGACCTGAGAGCAGCCGTTGAGAAGTGCCAAGTCAGGGAGCTGATGAGTGAGTGCCAGAACCCCAGCCTTTTCTCTGAGCAGCATTTCCAGAGCTGACACTTAGAGAGGGGGCATGTCCATCTTCAAGCCCCAGAGAGGGAAATGGGAGACCTGGGTTTGAGTTCCAACTCTGCCACTTAGTAGCTTTTTGCTTTTGGATAAGTCCCTTAACCTGCCTGTCAGGGTGCTCACCTGTAAAGGGGTTGGGGATAGCTCCCAGCTGCTTGTCCCACCTTGTCCTGAAGTGTGGGGTCAAAAGAACAAACTGGAGCCAGAGCTTCTAGACTCAATCTCTGACACCGCCACTTATGCAACTGTCTTTCCCCACATGTCAGTAAGGATAATCATGGCACCTGCCTCATGGTTGTGAGGACTGATGAGTTCATCAGAACAGTAATGACAGTCACAGTAAAATATTGAGCATTGACTGTGCTCCCAGTTTAGGAGCCTGTCCTGTTGGTGCAGTGCCAACTGCTCAGGACACGTAAGTTGCCCCCCCACCACCACCACCACCTGGATGTGTGGGCCGGAGGGACACCAGTCTCACTGCCTTTCTTCTCACTGTGCATTTAACAGAAATGCTCAAGGACAAGAATAAGCCTGTCGTGCCAGCCCGAGCCAAGGGCCCGCGGGGCCGAAAGAGGCGGCCTGGGGAGGCAGAGGAGACAGCCGACCCTGAGCTGAAGGCATCCAGCTTGGAGACGTGCAAGGGCCTCCTAATTTCCATATTCACCCACTGGGGGCCAGAGATCCCTGGCCCTGAACCCGCTCAGGACCCTGTGGATGGGGCCAATCTGGAGAGTGGGGCACCCAGCCCCATGTCCGCCACCACCCCTCTGGTGGTCAGCTGGGTGCTGCGGTCAGCGGCCGAGCAACCTCTCAGCAGGGTAGAGGCTGCAGGGCTCCTTGGCTGGCTTAAGAGCCACATTTTGCCACACTCGGTGGTTATGGCTGACCTTCTTAGGGACAGTGCCGTGAGAAGTGCCATATTCAAGTTGTACAGCCGGTTCTGTGATGCCGAGAGGCTGGCAGGGCCTGCACAAGATGTGGCCTGCCTGTTTAACACAGTCATGCTACAGCTGGTGGTGGCCCAGGGCATAGAGGGGAGCCCCTTGCACCTGGCTGCAGAGGCCCTCTGCCGCTCCTCCCTGGAAGAGAAGGATGGAGCTGCGCAAGGTAAGGCGGGCTCTTTGGTTGGAGACTGAAGTACGTGAGCGGATTTGGGGGGCTGGGGAGCTTCTGTTCCTTGGAGCCTGGGGCCTCTGCCAGAAACTCAGTACTTTGATTAGGAATTGAGATGGCTCCTTACCACAATAATGGGGGCTGCAGAGAGCTTGCCATTTGGCACTGAATGTGAAGGGAGAGGAAGTCTTTGCCTCAGCTTTCAGGTGAAACAGTGACAATCATGTTTGAGGTGGAGAAAGGTCCCCCTCAGAAGCTCTTCCGCCACTGCTGAGCAGTAGGGTTTTTGACCACTAGTCAGGTGAAGAATGATGTTCCACATCATAGCCAGGTGCGCGTGCGTGCGTGTGAGCATGTGCACACACACACTTATATATGTGTCCGCACAGGCACACACACAGTTTATGTACTTGGCATTTAGCAGATGCTGAAGGTGTGAATGTGTGGGTGAGTGACTGAAGAGCACTGGCTTTTAGTGGCTGTAGGAGAACTCGAGGGTAGTGGGTGTGGCTTCCTCCCTCTGGGAGGTTGTTCCTTTTGCTGAGGGAAGCTGGCAAGGGGGAAGGGCCGGCAACCTGGGCAGGTGAACTCACCTGGTAGCTGGAGTGACCTTTTTCTTGACTGCTTTTTTTGCTCCTTTTTTTTTTTTTTTTTTTGATGCTGTTGGGAAATTGAGTCTTTTTTGCCTGTAAAACCTTCTCTTTTCCTCTTCTTCCATGCCATTGAGGAAATGATATGAAATGATTCCAGGAAGTTGTCAGAATTCCGGTTCTTGGCATGTATGGTCAGAACCAAGAGACGTGGCTTGTAGTAGTTTTTTGGGGGTGATCTACACACATTCATCAGAAGAAAGATCCATTTTTAAATGAACTAAAAAAGATTAACGCAAAAGTTAGCCAAGGCAAAATAGACTTTTTTACCAGTGTGCTCACCTCGGGTTGCCACAGGTGTATGATGCAGTTTACCTGGTGCCCGGCAAAGCCACGGCATGTTGTGGGCGGGACAGCTGGTTCTCCAGCTGAGGGATGTACATCCTAATGGCCTTGTCGTCCCACCCTTCCTCAGCATCTGCAGCATTCCTGGTGTCTCTGTACATTAAGGACATCTGGCTGGGGGCCCAGCGGCCAGACACCCTCCTAACCCACGTCCAAATGATCTGTGATGCCGTGGAGGATGCGCCATGTGGTGAAGAGGATGCGCCATGTGGTGAAGAGGAGGCCATTGTTGTGCTCTGCAAGGATGTCGCTATCTCGGCCTCAGGTGCCTGATGCCCTGCCAGCTGGTGCCTTGAGCACCAGGTTCTAGAAGTTTGGTCGAGTCAAAGATGTCCAGACATGCGAAATGACATGTTCTGTACATTGACTCAGTTCTCCAGTAAGAAAAGTTGTAAGGACTTCGTTTAACTGACCAGTAAATAATGAATGCAAGGGACTCCATGTACCAAGCCATCAGTGCTGCAGGGAGCATGGGGTGTGTCTGGGTCATGAGGCCCATCAGGTAGGCAAGACCCTTCTTCTCAGGGGTTCCATCACTCTTCAAAGGAAATACCTCAAGTTGAGGTGACACTTCTGAGTGCGTAAGGGATTCGTGGATATTAAAGCTAAAATGTCAAAAAATATTCAAGATATTTTTTGATAATCACGGAGATATTTAACATTTTCTTTCTGTAAGAAGTCATAACAGTTTTGTATGACTTTTTGAATAAATTTCTGCCAGTGCTTGTTAATTTATTAAATAAAAGGGTGTTACACTAAATCCTTAAAGTTTAAAATTGATTTGACCTCTGCTTTGGGATAATACTCTGTATTTTTTTAAGTTGTTTTCAAAGAGAGAATTTTGAATTTTTTAACCTCATTAATAAATGTCTATTTTTTGTAAGATTTCTGTGTTTTGCTTGCTGATATTAACAGGCTATTTTTATTCCACACAGACCCACATTTTATAGGTCAGAATTTGACTTTTAAAGTTTATATATTAGTTGGTGTTATAACTGACAAGTCAATATGAAATTCCATGTATGTTACGTGTGAAATTTTCGCCTGTTTGTTTAAAACCCTCCCGCACACCCTGGACTCCTGGGGGTTGGTTCTCTCCTTTGGGAGGTGGCTATTTTATTTGCCCGTGTGATATACATAGCACTGAGAATGGCTTGGTTTCATCTTAAACATTTACGCTTTTATTTAGCACCAGTGTTCTTTGGAATCTTTTCTATTTTAAATGACAAGATTTTAAGCAAGGCAAGAGCATTGCTTATCTGCATATCCCTTTACCACAAACAGGGCTTGTCATCTAAAAAGGAAGGATCATTTACCTCTCCTGTCCCTTGGCCCACCCCCCCAAAAAAACCTCGCAACAATATTCTCTGAGAATATTCTGAAATTGAAATCCTACATTTAGATTCACACAAGCACTGTTGCAGTGAAAGCCATGTTTTCCTTTCTCTTCTCTTCCTGGTTTGCTGTCATCTTACTTTATTTACTGTTCTCTTGCACATTTATTGAAATTCCTTTGGTTACAAGCATCTCTTTTTTTTTTTTTTTTTTTAAAGATGACCAGTAAGGGGATCTTAACCCTTGACTTGGTGTTGTCAGCACCACGCTCACCCAGTGAGCAAACCGGCCATCCCTATATGGGATCCGAACCTGGGGCCTTGGTGTTATCAGCACCGCACTCTCCCGAGTGAGCCACAGGTCGGCCCTGGTTACAAGCATCTCTGATGAGCTTACGTAAAGGGGCATTGGCTGGAAGGGCAGTGACCTGGGGCACATCCCTGAACTGCAGGCTTCTGGGAGAACAGGAACAGGTGGCAAGTGGTGAGTTTCCATGGCCCCATCCCAGGCTCCAGGCCTCAGCTGTCTCCCGGGTTCTCAGTTCCCAATGACTGGGAGGGATTCAATTCCCCTGCTTGGCTGGAGTGGTGACACCTACCCATCCCCTATTGTGAGCCCTGGGGATGGGGAAGTTGCCAGGCAGCCATGGGAGCCCAATGGTCACTCCCTTCCTTCCCTGAGTGCCCAAGTGCCAGCCAGTGACTTTGCTCCCTCTTTCTGCAGTGAGCTGCCCCCTGGAGCCTACACTCCAGTGGGTAATACACAACGCAGACAAGTCAGATATATGTTACATTTGGCAGTGACAAGTACACCAGAACTGGGCTTTAGCTTGGTAAAGTGAGGACACGTGTTTAGCAGCTTACCCTCTGTGTCCCTGGAGCTCATCAGTCTTCCCTCGTCTTTCCTTTTAAACCCCCTGCCCTGCAGTCTGGGCTAAGCCTGGCCCTCACCTTGTGGAATTATTTTCCTGTCACCTGGGGTGGGGAAGAGAGTCTCGTCCTGCAGAGAATAGGTTATACGTGGTTTTCACCTGGACTTATAACACCAAACCCTAAATTAGAAACATTTTGAATGCTGTGCTTAAAAAAAAAAAAAGGAAACAGTTATTTTAAAAATAAAACCCACAGCTCCCTGCTTGAAAGCTGTGAGTAGTACATGGTTTTCTGGCTGTAGTGTGATACTGTGTCTATCATCAGGGACAGGGCTGTTGGGCATGAGAAGCCTAGATCTCTCAGGGATCTCAGATCCATGGTCACATAAAGTCACATCTTCCTGCCAGTTTCAAGAACTCTTTACATTCTGCAACAGCATCTGGAGGCCGATCCCCTCCCCTTGGGCATAGGCCTTACCCACCAGGTCTGGCTGCTGAGAGGTGACCTGCCTTGGACTTTGTCTGAAAGGCTCTGGGGAGGTTGGAGTTGTGACCACAGTCAGCCAGCCTGGCAGGGCAGACACTACCATATCCTGGTGAGCGGTGGGCACCAGGGGAGGATGGAGGGGGACATGGCAGGTCTGCCCTGTCCTAACAGAGGTCTGAATTGACCGAGCGAACTTAGGGTCGTTAAGCTATTACGGAAGTAATAAAGTGCCATAGCAAAGATTGGTAAACAAATTTTTGTTAATTTGTTTTATTTTCCTGCCCTTCCCAAAGCGAACATAAGCAGTAAGCGAGCAGGTTAGGTAGGTGTGCTAAATAGAATCGGCACTATGTGGGACTGCTTTCCCAGGCACGAGTGGCCATTTGTAAGCCTGTGACAAATGCATAAGACTTGCCTCCTTGTAGAATCATCCTCAATGTAGTCATGTTCTGCTGCAAGCAAACAGCCTTTAAAAAGATGACGTGTGTCCAGATTGGTTTGATTTCACCAGCTCGCCCAGCTGTGGCTGTGCTCCCCTGGTGTCAGTTCTACAATTGAGAGGTTCTGTCTCCAGGGGGAGGCTCTCTGGGCTTGTTCCTGACGTCAGCTGATGCTGTGAGGACACCCATCGAGGGCCAGTTCCCAGAGGTGGGCCTAGGGGCCATGGGGGGTGAGGCGGGGGAGCTCTCCGGCTGCAGCTGCTGGTCAGGGCCATCTCTGCTTCCTGGTTCCTCCACTGAGCCTGGTGGAGCCTGTGAGGTCCCCCCAGGAAACCTGTGGCACAGCAGGTGCCTCCAGATGCAGAGTGGGAGGTTGAGACAGTGACTCCACAGGCATTGTTGGTGGTGCTGGGGGCTGTTCCTGTGGACAGAGCAGATGGGAGGCAGGCATCAAAGGAGCTGGTCGGGAGCAGCCCTTAGCTGGTGTGCTTTCCTGTTGCCCTTCTGCCTGCCCAAAACCAGAGAAGGCCCAGGGATGTGAGCACCTCAGCTATGTGAGGCAAGCCCCTGCAGAGAGTCATCCCAGCTCAGAGGTCACCATCGTAGAGAAATCTAAGAGAGGAGGTGCTTGATTCCTGTGTTGATTTCCATTTGGGCAGGAGCAGGTTGACCTTCCATCCAGCCATGCATCTGAGTATAGCTCATTTTAAATCTTTATAAAACTTGTATCTTAGGTAGAAATCTGCCCTCCCCGGGTGGATTCTCCTGCCCAGGAGCTGCTCTGGCGGTGGACATGGCTGCCTGGCCTGGGCCCTGGCCGCCACTTCCTGCCTGCCTTCAGTCTCATCCATGAAACAGGACAATTGCCTTGAAGTATCATCAGGGTGAACTGAGGAGCTGTCTGAGCAGGAGAACCAGTTAAACGTACTTAGAAAGCTAACGTGAGTGAGGGGCACGGGAGGGAGCCAACTGGCAGAGGCCCTTCCTCTCAGATGCCACTGGCCTAAGACAGCGTTAATTCCCCTCCCTCCCTCCCTCCCTCCCTTCCTCATGGCAGCAGCGAATCCTCAGGGAGTCACTCCCCTTCTCAAGTCTTACTAAGAATCCACTTGGCTGCCCTGAGCATGCCATGTCTGTGGCAGTGCCTTGACAGCATTATCTATAGTGAGCCCTGCAGCCGGTAAGGACAAGAAATGCCATCCCTTTGTCCCTGTGAAATATTAGCCCAGAGGAGCTGGGCCTGACAGAGGTGGCCCTTGGACCAGGGAACTCTCCACGGGAGGATGACAGGCAGTCTCTGCCAACTGTCCGTGTCAGGGCTTGCTGCAGGTCACCCCAGAAGAGCAGAAAAGAAAGGTTATTTCATTATTTTATCCCTCAGGTGTCTCTTGGGGATTAAAAACCTACTTAAATTCAACATGAGTTCTAAAAACTGGAGGAAAAGAAGAGATTTCTTTATTGCTCAAAAGCTGGTCCCTGCCTCCGGTGTGTGACCAAAGGTACTCGGAAATGACCTGCTGAGTGTAGACCTGGTGGATGAGATGCCGTAGCAGGGCAGGTGGGGAGGGGTACAAGAACAGAGGCCCCTTCAAGACAGCGTGGTAAATAACCAGACCCTCAGGTTCCTCCTCACAGGAATGACTTGGGACTTCAGCAGGTAGAGGGACTGCCTCTGGTTCCTTCAGGAGCTCCAAGACCCTCATCTCTCCTCTCTTAGAACAGCTCTGCATGTCTCTGCTGATCAGCTTCCTACACTTGCCCTTGGTTTCCTCTCCCCAAGATTTTTGTCCATAATGGACATAGTGGTCCATAGTGGCGTCCAGCCCTGGTCTCTTCCTGAACCACTCTGTGCAGCGCCCCCAGCTACCTGGTGCTTCAGCTTCCCGATTCCAAATTCCAAAGATGGGAATCTGCCTGGCCCCAGCTCTTCAGCCAGGCTGCATGTTTCCAGGGGCATTTGCCAGTCTCTGGATGGGGCCGTTTTGGGTCAGTTGCCTACCCCTGGTCCGCTCGGCTATGGCAGGGTATGTAGGATTCCTTGTAAGAACAGTCATTAGGGAGCCGTGGGGCGAATTAACCTAAGAGGGAACATTGGATGTGGGAGCCAGTCGTCTAGCACAGGGGAATTAACACATAACGAGCTACATTCTAATTACTACTTAGAGCTCCTGGATTTTACCTCCAATTTAACCACTGAGGCCCACAGTGGCCTTCAGTAACAGATAGTCTCCATAGATGCTTGAGTAAGGGCCCCGTTTTCCTGGTGAGCTGGTTGGCAAGACTTAACTGGCACGTGGAGTCATTTTGGCCTTATTTTTTTTAAACAGCTTTACCAAGATATATTTTACATACCATACAGTTCACCCATTTAAAGTGTACATTTCAGTGGTATTTAGTATATTTACAGAGTTGTATAACCATCACTATAATTTTAGAACATTTTTTATCATCCCCAAAAGAAACCCATTAGCACTGCCCTCCCCCTAGCCCTAGGCAACCACTAGTCTGCTCTCTGTCTTTATGGATCTGCCCATTCTGGATATGTCAGAACATGTTGCCTTTCGTGTCTGGCTTCTCTCACTTAGCATGCTTCAAGGTTCATCGGTGTTGCGGCGTGAGCAAGTACTGCATCCCTTTTTATGGCTGGATACTATTCCACTGTGCGGATATGCTATTACCATTTAGCATCGGAGGCACCCGGGTGCCCACACCCCTCCTTCCTTACCTCATCTGCTGGGAGCCTGACCAGGACATGTAGAGCAAGATGAGGAACAGGAGCACCAAGAACGCAGCCAAGCTCACCCAAAAGGCGGTGACGATTGCGTCTGCGGGAGGAAGAGCAGTATCTCAGTGTCCATTTGATATTGTTAAAGACTAACAGTAGAGGGCCCCATGCAGCCCCCAGGTATTGCTGCCCTGAAGGCAGGTGTTCTCTCTTCTTCCAGCCTCTCAGCTGGTGCCATTGGGAAAGTTTCCCATTAGCGATAACCTTAGGAGAAAACAGGGAAGCAAGAAAGTGGCTTTTTCTCAGGGCAGCCAGCCACTGGGCCTGTTTTGGGTGATTGGTCTATTGAGGGGAAACAGTGAATGAAGTTGTGTGGCACCCCAGATCTGCCTTCTCAGCTGCTGGGGCTGCCCAGAACAATCCTGAAGAATGGGTTTCCCGCCTTCCCTTTCTCACAGGGGTGTGAGAAGAAAGGGCTGTGGGCAGCTCCATGTAACAGGACGGACTCCCATCCCTGGGAGGGATACTGCCCGGGGCCCTTTAGTGACTGGCCCCATCGGGAGCAGCTTCAGAGACCCCAAGAGTCAGAGACATGGAAAGAGGACGTGCACTGGACCACAGTGCTCCCGTGGAGGTAAGGCTCTTACTGCCCTGGAGGAGCTGACCGAGGCCTGCCCTGGCTGCCCACTCAGGCCAGGGAGGTGGAAAGAGCTGGTCCCTCTCTTTCAGGTGGAGGGGTTCAGCAAGAGGTTGGCAGTGGCAGGAAGAAACAGGCACTTTTGCAGCCAACACTGTGGCTGTATTTATGGCCTGAGGCTGAAGGGACAAAGGGAAACCAGGAAACATGCTCAGCCTCTTCAGAGCCCTGGAAGTGTCTTATTCCAGACCAACTGGATGACCCTGGGACAAGATGCTCCAAGCTGAGTGCTCCAGTCCTAAGCTTAAGGACTTTTAAAAGAAGCCTCTGACTTTCTTAGCATACCTTGTCCACTCGTTGTGCATTATTCTATACTCCCAGAGAGTCACAATTTATTTTATAATCCTCAAAGCACAGGAGTACATGTGCTTTCAGAAAATTGGTTTGGGATTTTATTCTGTAAGGATATTTCAGATTTCTGCAGACACTAATACTCTTTGCCTTTCTTCCCCCTCCCCCTTCATTAAAAAAAACCCCCAAAACTGCAGGATTTGAGGTCTTTAGCACCTAAGTTCTGTCAGGGAGCCTAAGATAAGAGCTTCAAAAATTTAGCAGTGGCGAGCTCCTCTTCTCCCAGGAGCGCACCTGTCTGCTTCAGCCCTTGTCATTATCCCCTGATACTGAGCAGGAAATGAGACGACACTTGATGGAGTTTGGATGTGTTGTCCCCTCCAAAACTCACGTGGAAATTTGATCCCCAATGTGGCAGTGTTGGAAAGTGATTGAGTCATGGGGGAGATCCCCCATGAATGGATTAATGCTCTCCCTGGGGGAGAGGGGATTAATGAGTGAGTTCTCACTCTATTAGTTCCCATGCTTAAAAGGACCCTGGCAAAAAAAAAAAAAAAAAAAAGGACCCTGGCACCTTCTCTCTCTCTCTTGCTTCCTGTTGCCATGTGATCTGCTTGTACCCGCCGGCTGCAGCCATTTTCCGCCATGAGTAGAAGCAGCCTGAGGCCCGTGCCAGATGCAGCTGTCCCAGAATCATGAGCCAAATAAACCTCTTTTCCTTATAAGTTACCCAATCTCAGGTAATTCTGTTATAGCAACATAAAACAGACTAATACAACACTTTACAGGGTACACAGTGTCGTCAGATAAGTGAAATTTTAATTTTCTCAAACTAAAAAGGCGATCAGTAGCCACCAGTCATTTTCTGTACTAAATTCACTTTCGTCATGTTCTGTTGAAAAAGGCAGCCAAGAAAATATTGTTGTTTTCCCTCTTCCTTCTGAAGGTTCACCCAAGGGCTTGGAGAGAACATTTTGTTCCAAAGGCAAGAACAGTCATTCCCCAGTGTTGGAAACGTTGGAACGTCCTCAGGCTTGTTTTCACAACACGGGGCCCCAGGCTGGGTTGACAATGAAACTGGTGCAGCGTGGACAGCTTCCCTCCCCTCCCTGTCCCTCTCTCCTTTTCTCCTTTCCTTCCCTTCTCTCTCCCTTCCCCTTCTTTTCTCTCTCTTCTCCATCACTCCTCTCCTTCCCTCCCTCCCCCTTTCCTCCTTCTCTCTTTCCTTTCTTTCCGAGTCCCCATTGGTGGAATAAGGGGAATTAGACATCCATCGACAGTGGAGTGACAACACAGGTTCTGGGTGGCCTGGCTGGGCTTCGCTTCACCTTGGGGATTTCTCATCCTAACTTGGAGTTAACATATTGACTCGAAGTGCTCCCTGTTCATAGTAGGTGCCTCAGTTTTGTTGAGTGAAAATTGCTAAACCTCAATGTCAGCATTCCTCCCAACGCTAACATGTGGGTCCCAGAGTCCTAGTAGAAAGTCAGCTTTAAGTACTTCTTTTGTTGGGGTATAACAACGTGGGTTAAGAGCCCAGGCTCTGGAAGTGGGTGGCTTTGAGTTCAAATTCTGACTCGGACGTTTCCTAGCAATGTGATCTCTGGCAATCTGGGATCATTACATGTCTAAATTCGTTTGCTCATTTGTAAAATGGGGATAATAGCACCTATGAGATAGGGTGTTAGGAAGATTAAATAAAGTAATATGTGTGTATAATGCATATGGAACCATTTCTTGTTCAGTGGTTGTGAAATGATTTATAAATAGAATTCAAATTATTATTTCTGTTAAGAGAGTTTTTGTGACAAGTGATATCACTGCATCCTTTAAGCTCACTAAAGTGTCAGATTTGAGTTAAGGTACTTATGCATAGACAGCCAGTCGTCAATCCTATGTCTGCTCTTGCATGCTTCCATGGTAACAGAAACGTTGCTTTTAGCTGGTCTGGTAGTTTTCCTCCAGAGACTGCTAGACTTTAGTACCTTGTGTCCTTTCTTATTTCCTTACTCCATTTTGCTGCCCGAGCTTGGATGTGATGGCCAGAACATGGCTTGGAACACGAGGATGAGAGACATGTCCTAGGGAGGACATCACAGTGAGCTGGAAGGAAGCTGACTTCACGGAGCTGACTCGCCATCCAGCCCTGCAGACTTTTACACAGCAAAGAAGTCAACTTCTATTCACCTGGTACTCTGTTAGTTGTAATCAATTTTCTTTGCCAAGTCAGTTAAGAACCTGACTTTCTCAATGAACATACCAGTACTTAAAAATCCAAATGAAGGCCGACCTTCAAAATAATCATCCTCTAGAGTCATATAAATTTTCATTAGAGTCATATAAATAGTCATATAAATTTTCATAAAATACATCTGTTGATCAAACATTTATAGAACTCCTCTTTGGGGATTATCTTCAAGGACTAATTTGTGAATCACACACCCATACACACACCCACAGTTTTGCTCCTTTATGAGATCATATTTCATTTTTGACACCCAGATGGGATCAGTTTAATCACCCATTTCATTCACCTGACTTGTTTCTGGGTGAATCTTAACTATTTCCAAAAAGAAAATTCATCCTCAAAAGATATACGTAATTTATCACCATGAATGTTTCATAGAGTGTGGTGTGGCCACCCAAAGTCAGTTCCAAAAGAAGAGCTCCAAGAAGTTTTAGAGCAATAACAGAATCATTCAAGTGTAGCACCTTTCCCCTGGGGCTAGCTTGATGGAAATTAATTCAGAGGTAAACATTCTGGTATCCTTTTTAAAAAGTCACTTTCACTACTTATGTCATGCCCACAGGACCGACCATTTGCTGCAGAGTTTGAAGTCATGGTTAAAGTTGGGACCTGAAAGTGAATGCTCCGAATAAGAGAAAAGAGTTTTACATAGGTCCTTTGTTCAATCTGTGCATTGAATTATCTAAACTGCGTTCAGAAGAGATTGTTTAGAGGTGTGTTTTCTTCTGCTCCCAGCTCTAGGTGCAGCAGATGAACAGAACACCTTATTATTGAAGCTGCCAGAGGCAGCGCATCAACAGAAGTCAGCATGGACTGTGACAAATTCTTCCCAGCCCATAATCAAAGGGAAGGAACAGAGCATGAAAGCCAGGCAATACTCAGGGGAAATCAATCCATCTTACCACTCTCTGAAAGGGAACATTAGACCAGCATCTGGAGACTCATCCTATTAGAATCATCTGTACTGACACTATAAGATTGGAATATGGGATTGGTTTTCTTCTAAGCTTAGCCTCTGAACAGGGCACAAATAGAAGATCAAACGTATCATTAGTCAGACCCGACAGGGCCCCAGGAAACAGATTTGCATTTTCCACTTTGTTAATAGTTTGGAGAGATTCTTAACCTTTCCATGAGACAGTCAGAAGCCACGTCGGAAAATCACAAGGGCGAAATTCTTGTGAAGTGTCTGTAACACTCAGTTTAGAGCTATCCCTGCAGAAGAACAGCCCACAGCCTTCAACTGAGCACTGACTGCTCCATATAAAAATATATATAAATCCCTAGATGTTTCCAGTATCTGCCCAACCACGATGGAATATATTCCAGCACATAAGCATGAACACAAAAATGCTAAAATCCTTCCTGCTTGTTAGGTTGACACTTGAACCCTGAGTGTTTTTCTTTCTATTTTGACTCCACAAAAATGCTAAAATCCTTCCTGCTTGTTAGGTTGACACTTGAACCCTGAGTGTTTTTCTTTTTATTTTGACTCCACTACTGTGAAGGTTAATTCTAGGTGTCAACTTGGTTAGATGAAGGAACGCTGAGAAACCTGGTAAAGCTATCTTTTCAGGTGTGTCCATGAGGGTGTTTCCAGCAGAGATTAGTGTGACAGCCTGAGTGGCCTGGGTGTGAAAGCCCCACCCTCAGTGTGGGTGGGAGCCATCCAATCCACTGGGGGTCCAGAGAGAACAAAAGACAGAGGAAAGAGGTGAAGCTCTCTCTCGATCCGCTAGAGCTGGGACACATTCTTCTCTCCTGTCCGTGGACAACAGAGCTTGAGACTCTTCAGCTTTTGGGTTCTAGAACTTACACCAAGGACACCATCAGCTTCCCTGGTTCTGAGGCCTTTGGACTTGGA